ACGAGACGCGCGCGTGCGGCTCAGTTCACACGGCCAGGGTACCTTGCTCGGCGGCCTTGACGGCCCAGTTCTCGGCGTCGCGCTCCTCTTCCTCGTGTTCGGCGGTGGCAGAGCCAAGGAGCGGCGCGGGCGGCAGGGCGATACCGGACGGGTGGTCGATCGGCAGGGAGAGAACCCTGGCGAACAGGTTCACGTTGGCCAGCCAGAGCAGCGTCGGCCGCGGGTCCAGCGAGTAGCTCGGCGCCGCCACATAGTCCGGAATGAGCTGGGCGCGGAAGAGAGTCGCACGCGAGTTAGTGCCAGCCCCAAGGCATTCAAGTGTGGGCTGGTGGGGCTCTGGGGGTACTCGTGGGTTGGCCTTGAGGACTTGGAGTACGAGGCGCTGCTGCACGGGGTCCATGTTAGCGTCGAGGGCGGCCAAGAGGCGCACGACTGCTCGTTCCCTCTTGCGTTGCTTCTCTTGCTCCGCCCTGTAGTCACGACACGACACGATATGTGAGCGAGTGCACGAGCACGAGCACGAGACGCGTCCAGGGGGGGGTGCGTACTCTGAAAGCGCCTTGGCCGCTTTGGCGTTGGAGGGGGTCGAGGCGGAGCCAAAGAGGCCGGCGTCAGTGGCAGCGACGTCGCGGATGAAGTTGGATACGAGCCGCTGCAGCCTGACGTCCTGGCGGCCACAAGCGGCCTTGAGCAGCCGCGCGACCTGCTCGACTGCGAAGGGTGTGAAGATCTGGGGCGCGGCACAGAAGCAATGCCGTTAGCGACCGTCCAAGTGCGCCTGTGGTGTGTGTGTGTGCGTGTTATGCGTACGTATTGCTTGAGCTTGTTGGGGAGAAGCGGGTTGAGGAGGACATGCTTGTGCAGCACGGGGAGGAGGTCTTGGGCGAGCGGGAGGGAGTCGTGAGGCAGGTCACGCCACAGGTGCGCGAACAGGCCCTTGCGCACCACCGCACCAACGATGCCCAGATCGCCGGTGCGCAGGAACGCCCCGCAGAACCTGATGAATTGTCGCCGCAGGACTGTCACACACGCACACACAAAGAGAGAGAGAACGATGATGGTCAGTGCCGGCTGGCGGTGATGGAGGTGTGAAGTGATGGGCA